GACATAAACCCCTGACCCTAGGTCTACACATTGCACATTTTTAAAAGGCACCCTTGCTTATCAAAAAATAATGTTTGATTAATACAAAGGAGCACATTTCAAACAATTTATTCATTTTCAGTGTATAAGTAGAGCCCCCCCCCCACCCCACCCCCGGTACCCGTGACCCTGGGGCCTTGAAATTCACAATTCTGGAGAAAGGGCCCTTGCTCAATATAACTACATAGGTAGTTCATCAGATTAATACCCAAGGGGAGCAGAGAAGAAAATTTTCAAAAATTTAATGTATTTTCACTATATAATCATTTAGAGCCCCACCCTACCCACCAGAACCCCTGACCCCGGAGCCATGAAATTCACAATTTTGGTAGAAGCATTCTTGCTCATCATAACAAAGTACTTAATTAGGTTATTTAATACAAAGGAGCAGAGAAGAAGATTTTCAAAGAATTTATTCATTTTCACTATATAATCAATAGACCCCCCCACACACACGCTAGAACTCCAGACCCTGGGGCCATGAAATTCACAATATCAATAGAGCCCCCCCCCCCAACTCCAGAACTCCTGACCCTGGGGCCATAAATTTCACAATTTTGGAATAGGCACTATTGCCCATCATAACTATGTACTTACTTAGTTTGTCTTACTTTGTCTACTCTAATAGCTAGGAGCAGTGGAGAAGACTTTCAAAGAATTAATGTATTTTCACTATATAATCAATAGAGCCCTGCCCTAACACCAGAACCCCCTACCCTGGGGCCATGAAATTCACAACTTTGTAGGAGGCACTCTAACCCATCATAACCATGTACTTATTTAATGCCCAGGAGCAGAGAAGAAAATTTTCAAAGAATTAATGCATTTTCACTATATAATCAATAGAGCCCCGCCCTAACACCAGAACCCCCTACCCTGGGGCCATGAAATTCACAACTTTGTAAGAGGCACTCTAACCCATCATAACCATGTACCTTTTTAATACCCAGGAGCAGAGATGAAAATTTTCAAAGAATTAATGCATTTTCACTATATGATCAATAGAGCCCCAACCTAACGCCAGAACCCCTGACCCTGGGGCCATAAAATTCATAATTTTGTAAGAGGCAGCCTTATTCAATATAACTATGTACTTGGTTTGTTTATTTAATGCCCAGGAGCAGAGAAGAAGATTTTCAAAGAAATAATGCATTTTCACTATATGATCTATATAGCCCCGCCCTAGCACAAGAACCCCTGACCCTGGGGCCATGAATTTCACAATTTTGGTAGAGGACTCAATGCTCATTACATTCATGCCAACAGTTTGCCTGCGTGATGTCCAGGAGTGAAAAAGAAGATTTTTAAAGATTGCAATAATTTTGGTGGTTTTGGTCCCACCCCTCAGGCCACATGGGGGCGGGGACCATAAAATTCACAATTTCTGTTCCCTTTCACCTATAGATGCTGTATACTAAATTTGGTTGAAATTGGTTCAGTGGTTTCAGAGAGGAAGCTGAAAATGTTCAAATGTTAATGCACGACGGACGAAAACGGATAGCAATAGGTCACCTGAGTTACTCAGGTGACCTAAAAAATTTGACAGTTATTCCTTATATTTACAAGCTCTTGATTCCGCCAATCCACAAGATACAAGCCCCCCTTCTTGTCTCTAATTTGTCCCGCACCGCACATGATTTTTTTTTAACCGTGTCTATCGATGATCCAGTACATTTATTTAGAAATAAACTACATTAACAATTTGTAATAACTAATTTCATCTCGGACAAAGACATTGGAAATGTAAATATTACAGTAATAAAGTGGAACTATTGGTTTGGTGCTTAAACAAATAATTTGAAACCAATTGAAATTTACAACTTCATGTATATTACCGATATGTTTCTCCTGTGATAGAAACTAACAGTGAGTGCCTGTACATTTCACTTACCTGGTTGATAATGAAAGGAGGCACCATTACAATAATGGCACACTTTGAACTGGTGATAGATTTCTGACAGGTAATCTTGTAATATCACAGAAATGCTGGGATCCTCGAAAAAATCCATCTTCATTCCAATCACAGTTTTTGCCGCCCAGAATTGGAGGGATTTGGGATTTCTATCCGAGTCACGGTGAGCACCTTCAGAGGGGATGATGCGGTACCCCACATCCGTGTGGTACCACATGAACGTTGACTTAAAATAATTGTGGTTGCCATGACGATGGACAGTCCGTATGGCTGGCATTTTCAACAAGAAACCTGGCAATGCATCTAGTAGGTTATTGTCCAACATGAGAGTTTTCAGTTTACGACAGAAAGTCAGAGAGTAGGGGATTGATTGCACTTGTAATTTGTTGTTCGTTAAGGCCAGAAATCTCAGATTCTTCATTCTGCCAATGTCAACAGGGATTTTATCCAGGCAGTTGTATTTGAGGGACAACAGTTTCACATTGGGGCACTTGAAAATCTGAAAAAAAATAATTAAGTTTACTTCATTTATCATTGAATTCTTCTCATTTTACATGTATTTTTTGTATTTATAATTATCATAAAACAACCAATTACTATTAAGTAAAACAAAATATATGATCTATAATTAAATTCTTTTGGAAGCATTCACTCATGCTTAGCAAACTGAAATATCAGCTTTCAATTGGAAGTTCCATTTTTTAACAATGATTACAGATTCAGTGAGGAATTTTAATCTGTTGTCAATACAAAAGGATGGTACATTGGTGTCTTAATATCATCAATGTTTTTATGTTATTAAAAGGGAAGAAATGGATGACTAGCATTGTCTGCAGGTTAAATCAGATTATATGCACTTATATATAGCCAAGTTATATTGAAATGAGACCAAAACTGTAGGAAAAGTGGCATTTTGAAAAAAAAAATTAAGATAGACAGTCAGTCAGAAGGACAGTTAGACAGACAGATGGATAGATGACTGAAATCTTACTATCACTTAAGCTCTTCTGGTCTCTGACCAGTAGAGCCAATAATCAGGTTACAAACAAAAGGCCCAGGGGCCACATCGCTCACCTGAGCACATCGTCTAGGAAAACACATAAATCAGATCAGAATTGAAAAGTTTACTAAGGGGGGGGGGGGGGAGGGAGGAGAGGGCTTGAATTCTAATACTACTTGAGAATGCCTCCATATCAATTCTGCATATAACTTCTAGAGAAAAAATTTTTATATATTTTTTAAAACATTTTTTTTTGTATATACATGTATTACTTTGTAATAATTTGAATTTGACTCCCCGTTGTTTCCCTCCCTACTCCAAAGGGTACTCATGATTTGAACAAATTTAAATCTTCAATACATGAGGATGCTTACATGTCAATATGACTTTACATAGCTTTTCTGTTATGGAAATTTTTCCCTTTATTTTCCTATGTAAAACTTTGATCCACCATTGAGACCCTTCCTTACCCTTGGAGGTTATGATTTGAACAAATTTAATTCTACCCTACCTGAGGATGCTTCCATTTAAATATCTTTAACCATTGCTTTGCTATTCTTTAGAAAAAAGATTTTTAAAAATATATTTTAATGTAATATTTGGATCCCCCATTGTGGTCCCACCCTGTTCCTGGGGGGTTATGATTTGAACAAACTAGAATCTACAGTATCTGAGGATCTTTCCATAAAAATATCACTAATCATGGCTTGAAGGTACTTGAAAAGAAAATTTATAAAGATTTCCCTATATATATTCCTATGTAAAACTTTGATCGGCCATTGTGACCCCATCCTACCCCCAGGGCCATGATTTGAATAAACTTGAATGTACACTATCTCAGGATGATTCAAAATGAGTTTCATCTTTCCTGTCCCAATGGTTCTTGAGAAGAAGATTTTTCAAGATTTTTCCTATATATTCCTATGTAAAACTTTGATCGGCCATTTTGGCCCCACCCTTGCCCCGGGGGTCATGATTTGAACAAAGAATCTACACTACCTGAGGATAATTCCACGAGTTTCATCTTTCCTGGCCCAGTGGTTCTTGAGAAGATTTTTTAAAAATGCCATTAATTTTTCACTAATTCATAATTATCTCCCCTTGTAAGAGGGTTTGGCCCTTCATTTGAACAAACTTGAATCCCCTTTACCCAAGGATTCTTTGTAGCAAGTTTGGTTGAAATTGGTCGATTGGTTCTTAAGAAGAAGATGAAAATGTGAAAAATTTACAATGACGACGACAACGAAAACAACAACGACGAAGACAGACAAAGGACAAATTTTGATCAGAAAAGCTCACTTGAGCCTGCGGCTCAGGTGAGCTAATAACAAATAAAGCAGAACACATGTAGTATACATACATGTAATTCTCTCAACCAGTAATTAGGTAGTACATGTATTGATAATTCAGAATGTTTCAGATCAATTTGAATGAGGGGATCTAAACAGTAATCAGATTTAACTGCAAACCACATCAGAAAAACAGTATAAAGATTATAGATTTGTTTATTTTCACTGTATTTACCTTTTGTAAAAGGGAAAATATGTACGGATTACATATAATTACACACTTTGCTAGTTACTGAACACAGAAACAAGTACTGGGGTAATCCCCACAAGTCAAATCTTACCTCTTTTGGCAAAGTGTTGTCTTCACCATACTTAAAAATACTATCTAAATGAAATTCAGTGAAGTTGTACGTATTCAAGTAGGTCTTGAGCAAAGTTTCTGAAATGAAAAAAGTATATATGGATCATATGACTATATTAAAGGTTCTACAGATTATCTTTAAAATAAATGCATAGATATCTATTTCAATGGGACTGTTTCTACTTCTTTGTGACAGTCCTAAGTGCATGACACCTTGTGACATCCTTTTAAAATTTTGATGAAAAAATTAAGACAAAAAAATGAACAAAGTCCTAGGAACCTTTGAGTTTACGTCACTGTACATGTATATGTATTATATCCATCCAATATAACATCTATTAGGGTATACAATGGTTGTAACTTAATTGTAAGAAAAGTTCACAGACAAGTTCTATTGTGAGTGTGCTATTTCTATGAAACCAGTGAAACTGTGCAGGTTAAAACTACACATATTTTCCAATAAATATGCAAAAATTTGGTGTTTTCTGATGATCCTTAATAAATAAACAGCCATTCAGAAATAGACATTAACTTTTATATTTACTTGTCTTTTGGGCAAGTGAACTATTGACTTGTCCGAAAGTAAAACTTGGTTGCCCAAAATTTTTAAAGAAAATACCTGTTATTGTATCTCAGTTTGTTGTTGTAAATATTGAAGAGTGACGAATTAATTTCCATTTTGAAGTTAACTGCCATAAAAAAAGTTTAAATGACGGTGATGCTACATTTTGTAAACATATAAACCACTTTCCTGTCATTTACTATCCTGAAAACACACAGAGTACTGTAGGATTACAGTATTATTTTCTTACGATCCCCCCCACCCCCCAAAATTTTAATTTTTTCTCCAGGCTAAGAAATTAAGGTCATACTAAATGGAAAACAGTTGACATGTTTTGATATATTCTTTATATCCCGTAAGTGAGTAAATAAACTATTCTGTAATATCTATTATATAATATTCTTATTAAGAAGAATGTTAAGTAAATTAATTGTCAGACGGAGAGCGTTTTTGTAAACTACGAAAGAAAACAGAATAACGAACCCGATTTCTGAATCAAGGAATAATCCATAAATGCTACCGAGGGATTACGAATGCAAAAACAATGTCCCGTTTTGGGAGGAAACCAAGCTTTCAATTTATTGTGTTGTTTATAAACTTATGAAAGATTAAAAAAGGTGTTTCTGTCAGAAATATCTACTTGCCCGTTCAACAAGTACATCTATAGTTTCACTTGCCCGTACTGAGAATTTACTTGTCTAGGGCAATCGGAAAACCGTTCACGTCGATCCCTGCCATTTTATTTAGATAAAACATGCTTTAAGGAGCATGTCATTTATTTGCACATATGTGGCAAATATTCACAACATACATATTTTCCTACAGTTATGACTGCTAAGTGTTTTATCTTTTAGGAGACCAAAAGTTTTCTATTAATATAAATATAATCTGATAATGAAAAGTAATGTAAGTTTAGTTTTTTCAGTTTAAAAATTTCATTTAAAAAAATTTTAACCTTCACAGGACACAAGTCAATTTGCTGCAAGTGTACATCTATAAATTTCCTTTATATTGAAAAGTCATAACTGTTTAATTCAATATTTTGATTTTGACAGGGTTCCAACAATCCCTCACTATATCCATAATTTCCCTGTAATATTAGATCAGTAATTGTACTAAATAAAATCCCTATACTAAACAAGTTATATATGGTCATATATTTGACACATGTAATGTGATACATGTATAATAGCACAACTCCACATATCTCTTTACATACCTCCTGGCCTTCTGATGTTTCCTAACTTCTCTCTATCTAAATCCTGTAGTATGAGTTGTAGGAGATACTTTGGTCTGTTGTGGAGGGCCACTGACAAAAACCACATACTCTGAGGAATGTTCTGGAGAGAGAAATGTATGTACATGCATAAGACACCATGTAGCACAAAAAGATGTGACCTTAAAAAAATATTAGAAAATTTGTTGTATGCACTTTTTTTCATTTCCCCCTAACCTTTGGTAATGAATTCTTTTTATAAAAATCATTTATTCAGTATCTGTGACACACTGTATTGTTTAAATATGTAGAAAATTACATATATAATTCATAAACATAATAACTAGTGGTGCAATGTCATCTTGATATCGTTATACATCACAATTTAAAACATTTCAAGCAATTTATGTTATTTTCTTTTCGTTTAA